AACCGTCTCTGCCTGTGGATTTGATAACCTCGAGATGTTTTGCCGTTTCGGTCGGACTCGATATGTGTACCTAATCGGATGGGCCGATCCCTAGGAGGGAGGACCTGACAAGTAATATTCTTCACATACAATCCTTAAAAAGATTTGATCATAACCAATTATCTGTCTCAACCGTGACACCTGATCCGCGCTTGCTGTGCTCGTAGATGCGACGGATGCTATTGCTGACTATTCCTCGCGCCTGATTGGACATGTGCGGGAGGATGCAGCTTTGCCTGGATCGCTTGGGGATTGCTTTCCCTTTCAGTGTTAGCTCTCTGCTTACGGTATGGATTCTAGAAGGATTCGACGGCCAGCTGCAGTCTGCGGACTTAACAATCACTGAAAAGGGAAATTCTGGGGCAAAGTCCGCTCCGATCCCGTGTTAGGCAAACAGTTGTGGCATGTCGGAGGCCGAGCTGAATAATCACGGCGGCCCAACCCGGCCCCCGGTGTTGATGCCGCACCGAATCTTATGGTCTATTGGACCGCGCTTGACGAATCTGGTGGAACTGCTATCGGTATTCCATCAGTTCAAAGGACAAGGGGCTCCGTATGACAGACTTCGGCCACACGCAAGGAATGAACCCGATATGTCAACTGGTGCGAAATATCGTTCGTGCGGCGCTGTCCTGCATCTTGCGATTAATTACCCGAACGGGCCACGAAGTCCGAGCTGCTCAGCTGTATGCCGTTTCGGTATGATGATGTGTAAGCGGCGTCCGAACTATCTCAAACTTCCGCTGGATTGGGGATCCCTTAGAGTTCAGACGGACTATCGTCATACAAATGTTTCAATGATAAAAGGCTTCCTACTGAACTTTCATTCGACTACCGTTCACTTGAAATACCACCAACAGCATTCCTTTGGTTCACTCGAACTGCACATTCTCATCCAAAAAGCTGCAACTGACTTCGACTTCAACGTACTTGATAATGGCAGCCATCGACAATCCGGCAATTTCGAGGGGCTCCACCGTCCTCGTCACTGGCGTCAACGGTCTCATTGGGTCACATGTAGCGGACCAATTCGTTCGACAAGGATTCAAGGTTCGAGGAACAGTTCGTGACGCCGCCAAGAACGCATGGATTAGTGCCTATTTCGATAAGACCTACGGCAAAGGCAATTTCAAGTTCCTTTCCGTCCCCGACATGTCCGTCGAGGACGCCTATGATGAGGCGGTAAAGGGTAAGATCGATACTGGCAAGACTTGGGAGGCAATGCTAATTTCAACCAGGCGTTTCGGCATTTGTGCATGTTGCTTCAGTAGTCACTTTTGAACCTGATCCAAGCAAAGTAATCCCTCTTGCTGTCAAAGGCACAGAGGTCGCCATCAAAGCAGCCTACAAAGAATCCAGTGTGAAGCGATTTGTGCTGACGTCGTCTTCATCTGCGGCTGTTCCAAGCGGGTCGCTCCAGGAAAATCTGCCAGAAGCCAAGATTGGGTCGATCATCACGGAGGAGTCTTGGAACACTGAGGCTGTGGATCTGGCCTGGAAGCCTGCCCCGTGGGGCCCAGACCATGGCGCGATCGTTTACTCCGCCAGCAAGGTCGAGCAGGAACGCTTCGTATGGAGGTATTACAAGGAGAACCAGTCAACGCGACCTGATATCGTTGTCAATGCTGGTAAGTTGCTTGCGCGTTTGAGACTGTTTGTGGGCTGTTGCTGATGTAGGCAGTACTTCCCAACATGAACTTGGGCAAAAGTTTGGACCCAGTCAACCAAGGTCATCCATCGACGTCCGGCATTGCCGCCGCTTTGATGAACGGCAACCGTTCACCCCCAACTCTATCAATGCCTCGTGAGTCATAGAAACCCGAGACTTTCTGTAGTGCAACGGCTGACTTGACCTTCAGAATACTTTATCGATGTTCAAGACGACGGCCTTCTACATGTCGCAGGGGCTGTTTTTCCGGATGTAAAGGGGGAGCGCATTTTTGGTTTCGCAGAGCCGTTCAATTATGACCAAATCCTGGGCATTCTTCGCAAACAAAATCCAGGAAGGAAGTTTCACGAGAACTATGCTGCCGGAGAGTACCCATTTGTGGTCGAGCCCATTGGTCGTGCCGAGAATTTGTTGCGTAGGCTCAAAGGGTCTGGATGGACTTCGCTTGAGGACAGCTTGAGGCTCAACACTGAGGACATTGCAGCAGCCGACGCTATATGAGACAGATGGCCAGATCCGGACACAATCTTATCAATTGCAAGTTATGATAGTGTCAGCGAAGCCAGTATGTAATCTGAGTCCCAGATGGTGGCTTCTTTCTTGTGGGAAAAGAAATACAATGTTGAATATCTCTTCAAATCGTGAGCAACCTGTGGGCCTGTCTCGGCCTTTGCTGACAGACGTGCCGAAGATTCAAAGTCGCATCCTAGCCGTACATTCATCAGACCGGCAATGGCAATGTCTGACTTGCAACACACTAGTAGATCTGCTCAGCGACATCGTTCGATGAGATTGGGCCGTTGCGGAATGGGGCTGTCTTACATGACGACTCTTGGCTCGATCTTGCTGTCCACTTGGAACGCAATCTGGAACACTACCGGCTAATAGTTGCCAGGGAATAGTCTCCTTGTGACTCCAGGGCAACCAAGGAATAAACAAAACAGGCTGATGGTGCCACTGCAAAGCCCTTTGAATCTCGCAGTAGAGTTAAACTTGAATATTTCTCTAACAACATTCACATGCGCACTTTTCTGGCTGATATTCAAAATGGGGCAATTTTGGTCGTCACCTCCCTCGGCATATGTGGGTTGTGGACCACTCGCCGGCCTATCCAGTCTGGAGCTCATCTACCAAGGGAGCGGCACAGGGCCAGTCGATTGCCAACGTCGATGTAACGCAATCCCTCGAGACTTTTCTATCATTATCGACACCTCCTGCTACTGCTCCAAGCCAGGCACAACCATCGTCTTTGACGGATCCGTGGCCTTGGAGAATACCCAGTGTAACCAATACACCTGCCAGGAGTCCTATCCGCCCTTCGGCAATCCCAAGTGTGGTGGTGTGATTACAGCGTCATCCTCGGCTCCATCAAGCGCAGGTTGTCCCGTCGCAATGTACACTACCCTGTACTCTGTGTATGGAATCCGGGCAGCCTCTACGCGGACTGCGACGTTTTGCTCCGCATCTCTGAGCTCGTCAACTGCTCCTACCTTGACGATGAGCACGTCTAGCGCTTCGAGCAGTCCGTCTTCGTCGTCCTCAGGAACTACTTCCACAACAAGTATTTCCACTTCTAGCACAGCCACTTCAGGTACGGTGGTATCGTCGACAACTTCAAACTCAGAATCAACCAGTTCGAGTGCTTCATTCTCTATGCCATCAATTGCTAGCAGTACTTCCTCGACACCCGCTTCTCTTGGTGCCACCTCAGCATCAAGCCTGCCTGCTTCAATCCTTCCTGGGTCAGATACCAGTGCCACGGCCGCTCCAATATTGACCAGTAAAACCACCTTTGTATCAACTACAACTAGCTCGGAAATGTTCCCTCCAAGCTCCTTCTCTTCGAAGTCAGTATCAACTAGTGGTGCTGCCACGGCGACCTCGTCGTTTCTTCCAACTGTTTCTGGCTCTTCAGTTACGATCGGTAGCGCGACCAGCTTTTCTTTTTCTTTCACCATCAGCTTGCCATCGGGCAGTCAATCAATGGGTGTGCTTACCAGTCTGATGCCTGGAAATTCTTCACCAACAATAGTGATCAGCACCCCGCGTTCCTTTCCAAACTCGACTGTCTCCGCCGGATCATTTACAAGCCTGTCGACCAATACCAACAGCTTGGACTTAGCAACCACTCAACGACTTGAATTAACCAGTAATTCGGGATCCACTCCAGGTAGTACGCAATTGGGCACAACGCTTGAGGCGACCTCATTTCTGTCTACCGCTTCCGTCGCTTCAGCTTCTTCCTCGCCCACTTCCTCTCTTACCGCAACCTTTTCTATTGTCTCGACTTTAACGTTCTCCGCAATTTTGTCGTCGGCAATGACATTGTCGTCAATCTCGGGACTTTCGACTCTTCTGGAAACCAAGACTTCTACCACCACGGGAGCATCGGCGACAAGCACAGCCAGTTCTGATCAGGGAGCCGTTTCAGTTCCATCTTTATCAGCAGCACAGCTTTTCAAAATAACTGTCATCCCACTGAACCCATCTACAACCGTGCGAAGTTGATCATGCAAGCCGCCTTCAAAGGCTACGAAGACCTTTAACTAGCCGGTACACATGGCTTAGCAAAGTGACAAGAGCTCCGCGACGTAGCCTGGTCTCTTCCAGTATTTTGAGGACTACGAGTTAACATTCGACAACGTTTGACTTCTTTGATGGTCCCAGAATGGACCGTGTGGAGGCCGCTTGAAATCGACAGTCTAGGGCCGAATGATGGAGTGGGGCCGTCGTGGCGGGGAGCCCGAGAAATAAGGCGCCCCGATCTCATCGACCGCCGGACACCGAGGCAACACCGACGTACGGACAACAAGGCGGGGTTTCCTTCATTGAATTGTAACTATCAACCTCCGCTTTTACAAATCAAAGCTTTGTGTCCATCGGACGGGGTGCTCCAAGAGCCCGACATCTTGTACTTAAAGCCAGTATCTTCCTTAACAACACGCTCTTCCCATCGCACCAGGCCTTACCAACTTCTGGTTCAATCCCCCCGTCCGAGCTTTGTATCATTTGCAGAAATCCATTCCATCTGTTCGTTTGCACCTGATCCTTGAATATGAAGGTTGCTGTTGCTGGCGCAGGCGACATCGCCAAATACCTCGTTGAGGCGCTTCGCAACTAGGGTTATGATGTGGTCATCCTGACTCGCAATCCAAAGCCTTTCTTCGAGAAGCTTGAACAACGCACTACGGACTATTCCCTTGAGAGTATTCGACTGCATCTTGCCGATTGCGACGCTCTTATTTCGTCCATCACGGGCTACGCCACCGACTTCGTGCGTATCCACCTCGACATGCTTGAGGCTTGCCGCACCTCTCCTCGGTGCAAAATATATCTCCCCTCAGTATGGGCGGGCAACTACGAAGAGGTTCCCGATCAGCCCCTTTACGTCGGCGATGACCTCAGCATCATTCTCAACAAGCTTCGGGGCCAAGATGAGGTCAAGTGGACATTCTTCTGCCAAGGATGGATGTCTGACTATCTCCTCCCCACTTCGCAGCGACACTTTGCCGATTACGGCGATCGATGGGTTCAGAACTATGAGAAAAAGGAATTCACCCTATACGGCAACGGATCTCAGAAGGTCGACTTCACTTCGGCTAAAGATGCAACTCGCGCCGTAGCTGTTCTCCTCGGTCATGATCCGTCCACCTGGGAGAACTTCACCTGTGTTTCTGGTCAGCAAATGACCTGGCTCGAGCTTTCAGAACTTGTGAAGCTCATGTTTCCCGAATATAAAGTTGTCAAGAAGTCGCTCGCCCAGAGCATCAAGCAGTTAGTGGCGAAGGAAAGCGACGCAAGCGTTGCGGTGGCCGTCTATGAGATCATGGGTCACAGCGAAGCACTGGCGTTTTCTCCTGCCAAGATCGCTGAGCATAGGGAAAGGTATTTCAAAGGTCTGAAGTTCAGAACAGTGGAGGAACTCTTGGATGAAGCTGCTTCTCATCCTACGGACATCGCCTAAGGTAGCTTAGCGTTGGGGCCTGAGATTATTTCATACCTTTTCTTTTGACCATCCTCCGCTTTCTAGCATAGTCTACCTTAGTGGTGACGATTCTAGCAAGTGCGTCTCTCCAAGTTCAACAATATGAGGCACTGAGGACTAAAGAGTCTAATCATCCGGGTCCTACCTAGCATCACAGTACTAGTTGCTTTGCGCGCAGTCTTCTCAGTAACAAAATCAGATATAGTCCTCGGAAAGAATATCTAGAAACATTGAAATTTGAACCATCCGTCGGCTTTTGCTAATCTTTCTTGGGCAAGGGCTTGCGTCCGTACACAGACATTCCATCATAGTATCCGTGCAGGTTCGTGTTCTTCACATCATTCCTAACCTGAGCACAGAAAACCAAAGTTTCAGCACGGGTCCAGTCTAACACTCGTGTAAACAGCGCAAGGGAAAGACCCTCAAGGCCGGATAGCAACGAGGCCTGGACCATTGAGCCAACTTCCTTCCACTTCGGATCTTTCGGCCAGTCGGACAGCGGGGCCTTGCATTTGGTCTCCGTGACCTCCTCGAAGCCTGCCTCTCTAAGAAGCTGAGGAAACTGGCGGCCAATAGTAACGGACCGGCCAATCTTTTCGCAGGCTTCGAGCATAAGGCGTGCCCATCGTGAGATTGGTGTATCCTCCTTGACAGTCTCGTCGTCGCAAAGAAGAGGGTAGATAATGTCGTGGATCTCAAAATAACCGCCCGGCTCGAGATTATTATAAGCCTGTTCGATAACAGCCGGCCAATCTGCGAACGATCCCATCATACTGCGAGCGAAGATGAAATCGAACGGCTCACTCCAGGTCCACTCCTTCTCGAGGTCATCAACCTCAAAGATACAGTTGACTGGGGCGAATGAAGGTTGGATTGGGCTCAAATCGGCACCAATAACTTGTGCTTCGGGATGAGCGTCGGCATAATCCATAGCCCAAACACCAGTTCCAGTACCGATATCAAGGACCCTTTTAGCGCCCTCATCTTTAGGGCACAAACAAAACTTCCCATCCCACATCAGCGTCCACATGTGGTTGACAATATCCAGTCGCTCTTGTTCCAGGGAATCGTTTGGCACCAGATATTTACCATCGCTGAGACTGTGATACGTGCGTCCATTCTCGCGACGATAGTCGAGAATACTAGAACGTAGAGAGGCGTAGGAATTGTCCGTAGAAGCCCCGGCAATGGATGATCTGTCGCTCGCATCTCCCGCGGAGGCGTTGTCCTCTTGTTCACTCTGCTCTTCTGCTTCGAGGGGTGGTACAGCTTGGGGCTCAGACTGGCCACGTAGATGTCTGGCTGCAGGGGAACTGGCCGGAGGGGAAGCTGACTGCGCGTCGTTCGCCATTGCTGCTGTTACGAGGCAGGGTTGTCGGTGGCTGCTCAATTTTGGGCTCCAGGCATAACACCTGATGGCTTATGATAGGAGTGAGATTGAAATCTTAAATGACTCGAGAAAAAAGGAAGAAACTGAGAGATGAGAAAAGAGGAAATCTGAGTGGGCTGAGAAGTTGTTTTTTACCCCTCTTTGCCGGGGCCTTCGCTACCGCTCTTCCCCCCTGCCGACTGTGCATATTCCGTTCCAACAACAGTTCCAACAGCATCGTATTATTGGCCATTCTGATATCAACCTTGTCACGCTAAGTACAAAACGTTCGTGAATGGAGAAGTAATGATAAATGTTGCCGAGGTTATGCGGACTTCTGATATCAAATGGCACTGAAGACAGCTCCTATCTTGGCTCTTGGCAATTCTGAAGTCCACTCCACTATCGCAAGTCGCATCGACTTCTTGAAACCATTTGTTCGAAAATTTCGAGCCTACAGGTGAATGAGTGAGATAAACGTCAGCGGTACTTCAGAAACAAGACGAATGTAAAGTCAGGATTTATTGACTGACATTGAAATGACAAAAGCGCTCTTGGTGGCTAAAGCGCAGCACACATAGCATTTAGTGCGTGGTTTCTTGGCCAGTCACCTTCCTGTTCAGGGTGCAGAATTGACCGGTACAGGATGCAGTGCTTCATATCTGCTCAGTGCTACCTGCATGTGGAGCATTCGCATCACCCTCCTGTAAGCCCTCAGTCAGGGATGCAGACTTACGAAGTCTCATACCTGGCACGAAAGAGAATGCCTGAGATGTTACTTAGGCCATTTAGTCTGGCCACCTGACGTCCGCGCCTCTTCATTAGGTGAACGATGGAGCGGTCCGCTCCCGCTTTTAACTCCTCAGCCCCAGGCAGCGAATGGGGTCCAAAGGATGGAACCCTTCCGCTTCCCCGGGCGTTCATTTGGTGGATACCCATCAGCACGGGATGCCCAATTTGGGCATAGGAGGTCTTTCCATGAACTGACTGCTGTAAGGTGTGGCGGAAGGATCTAGTGCTGCAGGGGGTTGGATCTGATAAGATCATAGGATTGGTAGCCACAGCCCCGAAATCCACAAATGCAGGCGGAAATAGATAATTTAAGCCTCACAGAATTAGCGGCGGGTTGGTTCTTTGATGCATCTCTCATGAGTGTAAGTCTCGAGTGTTAAGGCAGTCTAGCTCTTCCCGTGCATTTGAAGAGCCCACGAAACACGGCGAATCGCGTAAACAGTGCAGTCTGCTTTGCTTCTGAATGGGCTCACAGAAGTCTAGATTTCGTGTCAATTCTTATTCAAGAATTGAGGTCTAAGGGTCAGTGGTCTATTGTCTGCGCGCCGGCCCCCAATACGCCCACTTGAGCCAAGGTAGGAATCACGCCATGGGATGAGACACCAAACACACTTGCGTCAATCAGCGTTCTTTCTTTGTGAACCAGGCACCAATTGGACTGCTGTGCCTCTCGTATGGATCAAAACCAGTCGCTGTTGAAGCCTCCTCCGTTAGCGAATTGTCTCGTTGAAGGATCGTCCAGCTCCTTCTTCGAGGGAGCAGGATCTAAGTACGCAGCGATTGGAGCTGCCATGTCTCGGCAAGACGGCATTTGACTCCCCAAGAAACCTTTACGCAATTGTAACTTCTTTCATAAAGGATTTATGAGAGGTTATTGGCGTTGAGCACCTCAACGCCAACGTTGCCAAGCGAAGGACTGCATGAACATCATTAGGAAATCTGGGCAGTTTAGGCAGACAAGGCAGTAATCATTCACGTCATGACCGTACGCATTGATTCCGGAGACACTTAAACCGGTAGGTATCATCTTCGAGGTATAAAAGAGACGAGTTTGCCGTCTTATTGAGTTTGGAAGCATCATCAACCTCAGCTCAAAAACCATCACTGCCCACACGAAATCACACAAATCTTCAGGCCTCAGCCAACCCAACCTCATCAAACCCAACCTTATCCAGTCCAACGTCATTGTCAAAATGCAGATCCAATCTCTTGTAAGATCTCCGTGACTCAAGTCCTGGCTTATAACTAACTAAAAGCTAAGGCCATCTTCGCTGCCATTGTAGGCTTCGTTACTGCAGCGCCTACTCCTGAGAACACTCAGCCTGCCTCACCCTCTTACGCCGACATCCCCGAAGGCATCTTGCCTCTTGATTTCAGCACCGTCGTTAAGGCTCGAGACAACGCTCTCCAGAAGCGCTATTGCCCGGGTGAAAACTTCCCGAATTGCATCCAGATACAAGGACAGGTCTGCATCTGGAGTTGCGGCTTTCACAAGAACTTCCAGTGTCTCGTCGGATGCCCTGCAGAGACTCACGCCAACTGTGTGGATTGGTGCTAGATGGTCCAATATTCGGAGACACATAGACGGGACGGTAGAAAAGGAGGGGAGGGACTGTTGGGGCTAGATTGGACAAAGATTCAAGATCACGAGAAGACTAGAATAAGGTAGAACAATGCCACACACTTGATTGACAATATGTAGCATCCATGTGGCTCTCTGGAAACCATGGGAGTTGATCGTGGCTTTCTTTATTGAGATGGAAACAGTACTGAGACTGGTGATATGACATGAACGAGTCGTCTTGTATCCTCCGGGCTTTCATGCCCTTCAATACTGCGCTCCGTCGTGACGAAAAAGTTTATCTCGTAGGGTTTTCTTTCCTTTTTGGCTTCTAATGATTTTTTTCGAGATGTTACAGTATTTTTTTTTTCTTTTTTTTTTTTTTTCCTTTTCTTAAAAATTGCTCTTGACATAAGTTACACAAGAGTCGCGCGGCACTTGTTGGAATATACTTATTTCAGCAGGTGTTAAACCATAAACGAGGAGCGCGACCGGCAGGCACGTCACCAGCCCGTCTCTACCATCGATGCCCTCAGCTACATCAGTCGGTGATGTACCATCGTACCTGTATACCTATAGAATAGAGACTCAGCGGGAAAACGAGATTTTGTTGTGAGAGCGTGAGAATAGCGTAATTTTCACCAAGCCTGGGCTTGTGAGGTCCGAGAACTCCTGCATCGCCACGTTCTTGAATTGCCGTGGTGACTTGGTAAAATACAGAACAGCATTGCCTAAACTAAACAAACGATTTGCAACCTTGGATGCATTGGATACTATATTTCGCCATCAAGTTGACACGAAATTCAACCAATGCTCGCCATCTGTATGGATGAGCGTTGTGACAATTCAGATGGGACACGGCGCAATCAACTTCGGTGAGACATCTTCACCGAAACCATGAATAAGGAAGCTCAAAGTCGGACAGAATCGCCGAATCGGCAGCGAGAGTGCCATCCATGATTCGCAATTGCCCCACGTTGTCTCCTCACCGCGCACGGCAATTCGTCCCAAACGATCCTCATTTCCCGTGCTGCAAAGCTGCCCTGGAAATTTCAGGGATCACCTCGACTACACTCTATCGGCGTAGCATTTAAACCAGTAAACAAAGCAACACCAAACCAGGGCACCGGTGGCACCAATTGGTGCGATTTTTGGCGGAGCAAGCCTTGGCTTTCCTCTTAGGCCCAGACTGGATCCTTATCCCCGCCGGACATCTCACCGATCACAGCTGTTTTCAGAGACGAGCGATTGAATTGAATGACGTCCTCCAAGGGTTCTCAGCCAGGGTGGTGCTCAGTCACTCAGTGCAGAATGCACGCTTGGCGATGAATAACGGCGCAACCGTTGCTCCCCTGCCATTCTCCGATCCTCCCAACCTCCGCTAAACGCCGGGCTGGTCATCAATTATGATTCCGAACTGTGGACATTTGTAATCAGGCAAAAGACGTTGACCCCGGAGGAAGCTTAAATCTTAAAAAGATCTAAGGGTTGTCCGTTCCCCCTCCCGTGTCTGGCCTGGAATCGTCCGTCCGGTCTCATCCCGTTTGTGCAGCTCTCAATCGACCAAGCTCCGGATCTTCAAGCAAAACACAACTCAAGATGCTCAGCAAGACGATTGCCACGGCCGTCCTCGGCCTCGCCTCCCTGGCATCCGCCGCGAAGAACTGCCCCGTTGCCGACGTTTCCGCCATCGCTCACACCGGCACCCCGGTCGGCGAGACGGTTCCCTACAACGGACGTAAGTGATCATCTCTCCGCGACACGCCCGATGACGGTGCACCGGGCTCATTTCAATACAGTCAACATCTACGTCTCCAAGCCCAAGGGACACAGCGCCCGTGGAAATAAGACCTCCGTCGGCGTTCTTTACCTCACCGACGTCTACGGCGTCCAGTTGGCGCAGAACACACTGTAAGCACTCAATCGCAGTCTCACCCGCGGTCACTCGCGCGGCATTCGGTCCGCGCCGTGAAAACATGAATGCTGACGCCGTGCATAGGTTGACTGACAGCTTCGCCCGCGCCGGATACATCTCCGTCGCCCCCGATCTGTTCGACGGCAAGCCCGCGCCCAACGACATCAACGTTCCGGGCTTCAACACCACCCAGTTCCTCGCCGCCCACGGCCCCAACGTGACGGACCCCATCATCGCCAATGCCGTCAAGTACCTCAAGGAGGAGCTCGGCGTCAGCAAGGTCGCCGTGACGGGATACTGCTTCGGTGGCCGCTACGCTTTCCGCGAGCTTGCGGCGGGCAAGGGCGCCAATGTTGCTTTCGCTGCGCACCCCAGCTTGTTGACTGACGATGAGATCAAGGCCATCACTGGCCCCGCCAGTGTCGCTGCTGCCCGTACGTCATTGTGTTTACTGAACGCGTCAACGTTTGGTATGAAGAAGACATCACTGACCTTGATTTGTGTTCAGAGAACGACAACCTCATGCCTGCCGCGCGCCGTGCCGAGATCGAGGCCCTCCTCGGCGCGACCGGCCAGCCCTTCTCCCTTGCGCTGTACGGCGGCACCTCGCATGGCTTCGGTGTTCGGGCCAACATCTCGGACCCCCAGCAGAAGTACGGCAAGGAGGAGGCTTTCTTCCAGGCAGTTCGCTTCTTTGATACTTGGGCTTAAATCCGATTCTGTAAATAGCTTGAAGTATTTGTTCAGAATACAAATCCGTGTATGAACTTGTCTGTCCATCGGCTCGTACGGTTTCCGGTGCGTGTATTATGGCGTGCTGGATTCCTGTTTGGTATATTACAGCGACTGTGGTTGTCCAAATCAGCTGATGACATGATTTCCAAGCCATGAGGGTAGGGTGTTCTGAGAAGAGCAATGCACGTACGCAACGGTTGAGATAGTGTTGAGCTTTGGGACTGAGCTTGAAGCCTTATCTTCGTCCAGTATTCCATCGACGGCTGCATACCTGAAACAGACAGCAGACAGCAGACAACTAATGATGATGAGATGCTTTCGCTGTACTTTGGTTGATGTTGATCTTATTGATGTATCGTGAAGCCGAGGGAGAAGGATCTTTGATGCAGTAGGTTTCCCTCGGCTGGATACCTCGAGAGATGTGAAGATCACACTGCTGAAGGGGCCGACGTGGAAAGAAGAATGTTGTCGTAGTAGGACTCGGCGGACTTGTAGCGAAAGGTCCCACTGAAGTCTCCAAACCCGCCTCGAACCCTTCGTCCGATCTTGCAACTCCGGACACAAGTAGGGGCATATTTCCCCCCCTAGCGCGGATCACTTCATGATTGCATGCCGTTTTCTGCAGGGGTAGGCCAGCAGGTTTTAGATTCCATGGCCCGCGACGAAGGGGTGGTGACATATCCAGTGTCAAATCAGCCTTACCAGTCAAGCAATAGTCGGAGCTCAGGTCACTTAAGCTTCCACCCCACTTGCTCGGTTTCGCTTTCGGGGGCGTTCAGAGTTAGACCCGGCCGTTTCAGAACCACCGGATGAAGAAGACATGGCCCTGCTTGGATCTTTAAGGCCAGACGAGTGTGCCTTGCCAATCTAACGTTGATTTCTATACATGCTACCGGATCTGGAATATGTGCCAACTAGCCGCCAGATTGACGCGGGGATGTTGGTTTCGGCCGACGACGGACGGGCCGTACAGGCAGAAATTGGGCATCGCTCGAGTCGAGGCAACTGAAAGACAGCCGAGTCTGGTGTTATTTATGGAAGCTAGAGTGTAATGATTGAGGTGCTCATTCGTTAGCAACACGTGGTGCAAACTCTGTCCTACAGTTACTTGTCGTACTCGTAAAGACTAAAGCATAGTATTCCAATTCAATGGCGCGTGCGATGAATAGTCTACCGTGGAGTGTGAAGTTGAATTTGGGAATTGTATTCATGAGATTTTGATGTCATAACTAAAGTTGTATCGTCCGGTCACTGATGAAGGCCAGTGGCCACTGTATCAACTCTTTCCAGCTCGCATCTAAGTCGCACACTATTGCCCGAGCCGCGTTAACGCCCCATCCCTGCATAAACCACGTGCTATTCTCCGTTGAGTGGACAGCGACGGAGTAGTAGGCTAGCAACGTCAAGGCGGCTGGGTCTCGATTTCGCATGAGCTGCATGTACTCCTCTGATAGACTGGTGGGCCATGTCAGACCAACTCGCAACTCGGGGAACGCTGTCGTGTTGGTGGCGTGGTCGATCCATTCCCGCAAATTTGATGTTTCCCGAGCGACGATGTCTTTACTGTACTCATCGGCATCGGTGGTCGGTAATTTGGCTGAGAAGGTATTTAGGTGTTGCTTGACGGCGTCCAGGAGTGGAGTAGATGCCGGCGTGACTACCTCGTGGAAGAAGTTTTTGAAAGGCCCGGCTTGAATGATGGGTTGTGATGAGGACAGAATGTTACTCATGCCTCTAACGAGTAAGAAGACGTCGATAACGTCGTCGACTGTTGGCGCCTGGTGTCCTTGGGGGCCGCTCCTCTGGTAAGGGAATGTGGAAAATGCGCTGATGAGCAGCAACGAAGAGCCTGCGAAGAGTGGGTGGCAGTTATCGGGCGTGATTTGGGTGAGAGTCTCACGCATGCCAGCAATTGCATCATTCTGATGTTGTGAGGCGTGAAGTGCGTAAGATTCGCGTTGCTCTGGGTGTAAGTGGCCGAGGTGTAGGGCGCTGATGGCCAGCACTTGGTGCATCAGGAACATGTAGGTGAGGCCCAGCTTCGGGACCTCAAACTGCCAGATGTTGCTCGCATCCGATGACCTCGGCATCGTGAGGGACGTTGTCGTCGAGTAGTGGTGCATGAGCTCCAGATCTGTGATCCACTTGCTGAGATGAACCGATTCCACCGGGCCAGTCGAGAACTTGACAAAGTACGGGAACGGGTCGGGGCTTGAAGCCGCTATTGACGATTGTCTCCTGCCCCCTCCTGATGAAGAGGCCTGGTCACTGATGAAGTCGATGGGCAAGTTCAGCGTCGAGTCCAGGAGGCTCGGTGGTGTGAGTGAGTGAGCCGTCGGACTGATCGATGAGGCGGTCGTCTTGCGGCTGCCACTGGATCCTTTGCGCGTTGATGTTTTTCGCTGCAGACTTGAAGCTCTAGTCACTGGCCCAGCCTGAGGCCCTGATGGCTCCCAACTCATACTGTTGGAGTCACTTGAGGCCGGCTGGCCTGATGTCGCACCCTCGACAAGACTGCATTGGGTGTTGTGTCTGATGCAGGCGCCACATGGCTTGTTCTCATCGCACTGAGTGAAAAGACGTCAGCCAACCGCGATGACATATGAGTGTGGTAATACGAGTATGCAGGTTTGGTTGGTGAGGGAGGTAGTATGTACTTTGACACGCCGCTGTTTACATCTGGCACAGCCACCGCGAGACTTCTTGTATCCAAGACGCGGCATCTTCTCCAGCGACACGGGACTTTCAAGTGGCGGTCTAAACAGCCTTTTGTCACCCTGACCCCGACTCTCGCTCTCTATCTTCCTAGACGGGCGAAGCGTGGAATTCTACACACGTCGTACGTAGTTGAGTGGGCAGTCCGTTACTGGCTGGAACGCCCGGGAGTCCGAATGAGAGCCAGAAGGCCGCTTCCCCCTTTCGTGGCACTTCGGCCCCCTGCTTGGGGAAAGGCAACGAACCCGTAGCAGGGGATGGTAAGCCGACGAATCGGTTGGCGTCCAGAAACACAAGAGATGTCAGCAGGATGCAGCTGCTTATGGATTTCTCCAGCGGCGCGGTCCGTTAGAAGGTAGGCACCAGGTGCGCGGCGAGCGTCGTGTGTGGGTGGAAGCTCGATGAGTTGAGAAGACCGAAAGCGAATTTGTGGGGATGTGAGGTGAAGGTAATGGATGGCGATTTGATCGGGAGTTGGGCGCCGGGGCCGGTTACGGTCGGGTGCTCCTTTCTGGCTTCGGTAGTTGAAGTAAACGGCTCGGTAGCTTTCGTACAGGATTGCTGAAGTCTGGACGGTCCGGTTGACACCTCAACATGCAGAGCAAGGCCACTTGGTTATATCATGAGAATGGAAACAGGTAGAACGGGGAAGCTGGGTATTGGGATTCTCGGGGAGACTGAGCGAGTACGCCCCGTTGGGCTGGGCTGGCCGGGGCGGGTATTGAGGAAAAACTCGACCAGTTTAAACTGCGCCTTGCTGACGAGTCAACACGAAGCACGGGCGCGTGCGTCAGAAACACCTACTGAAGAGCCAGCCGGTACGGATAAGGAATGGTGTGGGCGTGGAGAAAGTGAAACGGGTACAGAGAGTATCTGGGCTGTTCCTATTGGAGGCTAGGGGAAGGGGAGACAAGGAATAGGGGTACGGATGGGCAGGAGAAGTGGGTGAAATAGAGCGGCAAAAGTGTATGTGCGTGTCGTACGGCTTCGTTTCGTCTAAGCATTCGAGGGCCGCAGCACCGCTTCTCGATGGCTTGAGTTTCCAGGGTGCCACGAGGAGCTACAGGTACATCCGCTAAAGACTCAACGTTGAGCTCATCTCTATGTCCATGCTGATCCATCCGTCCCGTCATATCGCATGGCACGTCTCTGTGGCTCGGGAATTGCAAACACGCCCAGCCACGGGAGTCTACTGCGTAGAGGGGTCAGGCTGTCCACAAAGCCTCCATCAACACGGCATGGATTGCGTGGGTTCTGATGCTCTACTATGTACAATGCTAGATGATGAACATCCCCGGCCCAATCCCGGAGGTGTGTGTGATGGCATCTGTCATGAAGGTTCCTGCCAGAGCTCCCGCCTGGTCTGTGCATACGTCGTATTTCCAGGGGTGACCTCTAATGAATTATTCAAATCGCCCTTTGGCTTTCGGGGTTAACGGGGTGTGGGTGTGAGCTTGACTCCAGCATCCCCCATCCTGTTCCTGGCTCCCCCCTGTGCCCATCAATTCAAATCCATCTTGACGCCTGTCAGCCCGGCAGCAAGGCACACTTTCTGCCCTGTAACTCTGACCTTTAGGGGGCCGATTATACTATCTGTAAGGCTGGTTAGTGCCGCCGAGTGATTTCCTGTTTACAACGTAAGTTTAAAGAGTATCCATCCGGGCCGTAGCCAAGACCATGTTCAATCGATGGCTTCATGCGCTAATTTCCCCCGTGCTTACTGCCGGCCCGAAGAAATCATGTCAGAGGAAATCACCACCGCGCTAATTCCTCAACGGCGCCAAATCACCAGCCACATTGTCGGAGAGCTGTGAAGAAACCGAGACCGAAGGACCCTGAGAGATGTTCTAGAAGCTCTGCCGGACATCTCGTCCGCCCCGAACATCACAGCCCTGCGGAGCCGAAGGGATCACAGCCAACATACAGAGATGACAACAAAGTCAGAATCATTGGATGATGGGTTCGTCGTATTCCCTTTCCCCGACATACTTTGACGGCATCTCAACTACAACAGCACAGCAGCGTGGCTGAGCCGCTCAATTTGCAACTCATCGCATGTTCTTCTCCGCGTATTTGCGCGGGCGCACCGTCTGTCCTATCAACATGCGCGTGGTGTCGCGTCTAATCCAGACGCGGTCTTGTATCTCGGCAGACACTCTTCCTTCCTCACCTTTAATGTTCACGATGCTATTCTCGTCATCGTTAACCAGTCGGACGATAGGAGAAAGATCAAGCACGTTGATGCTACGGGCCGGGCCTCC